GCTACCAACCAGCTGACCCACTAGCTACAACTCCTTCAAGAGAAGTGATGGCATCTAGAAATAAAAATTTAAGTCCTATTATTTTCATTCCTTCACTCTCTAGTGTCCAAATCCAACCAAACTTTGAACAATCCAAAATCAAACCATCTTTGATGCAACTTCTTGCCTAACTTCTTCATCATTGTTCAAAAGTTCAATGTACCACTAGCAGAGGGGTAGGCAGTCAAAGGATGTAAAAATGAGGTGTACGAGCTTTTCCACAATATTTATGTTTAATTTAAAATTAATTAATAATAAGAGAAGTAATTTTTTTATATTTGTTATTTTCAAAAAAGAAACATAAATTTTAAATTAAGTATACAAACTTTAATATAAAAACTATATTTAATTTAAAACTAATTGATAATATATAAAATAATATTTATAAATTTAAATCACATGTTTTTTTAAAATATAAGATTTTTTCACTTAACAAAAAAAAAACATCTTGTATATTTTCACTTTAGTAGACATGAATGGGAGATCCTAAAAGCAAAATTTGAAAGATGCTGAGAATTTTTATCTCATTCTGTATTCTGAAAAACTATAATCAGTTTTACAAGGTGAATATGATGATGATTTAATTAAGAAAAAAAAAAAGGAACAAAAATTAGCATCAATCATCGTTTACTTGATGATTTGATCCTAATAATCTTGTGTTTGGTACAAGAATACTTTCCAAGGTGATCTGAAAATATTGAGGGTCTTTGTGATTGTGATTTCTTTCTCCTCTTCATTCCAAAAGAAGAAATCTTTCTCTTTTCTGTTTCCTTTATGGTCTCCAGCTTTGGTTTCCAATGGCAGCGAGACACAACCAGCTGTGTATAATCCTTCTGCAACTGCGGGGTGTTGCATACTCTGTTCCGGAAGGCAGAGCACTGCTCTTCCGCCTCCTTGTTATCGTCCTCTGCTTTCATTCTGCCTTCTTCTATCAACTGCGTTATAAACTCATCCGAGACGCGTATCCTGGGACACCCAGATGGTGTTTTCTGGATATCTAAGGGCTGACAGGCAACCGCTTTCTTCAAGAAAGAATTTCTGGATTGCTTGGCCAATGAGGCAACGGTGACGAAGGAGAGGACGGACTGAAAAAAATGCTTAGGAAGAAGAAAGTAGTTGTGGCCGAGCTGAAGCTGGTCGTCCTCGGAGAGAGCCGGGATTTTCTGCCCGATGTATAGGGAATCGGAACGGCAGACCATGTGCCTGGGGAACTCTGCCATGAGCTCGGATACATGGATGGGGCGGTTGTAGATCTTGACCATTCCATCTGACTTGACTAGCTTGATGGTGGCAAGAGGCGGTTCCGGCTGAAACTGGAGACAGGAGATGTGGTTGCCCAACAACTGAAAACACCATGGAATCATCTGTAGATTCAAGAGTTTCATACCCATAATTAATTTGCTCATAAGCTTGAAATTTGATCATATATCAGTCTGTGTTTAGTGAGAGAAGGTTTTTTTGTGAGGGTAAGAATAGGAAATGGAGGTTTGGGAATTAATATTAGGCTATATATATGCAGATTGCAGAGGAAGGGCATATCAAGGTGAATGCTGAAGAGGTACATGAAAAGAATTAAAGAATAAAAGAAGGAGAAAATAGTGAGACTTGTAGGTTTGGTTTACAGAAATGTTATGTTTTGTATGATGACTAACCATTGGATGGTAGATGGGCTAATAGGTTAAAAAAGCTTTTGAGCAATTCTAGGGACACTCGCCTCCTGCACTCTCCAGTCAAGACTTCCTCTTTTATTGGGCTACGTTATTTTGGTTCCCGAGAGGTTGCGCTGAAAGCTTTAAAGAAGCTTACGTGGCCCAATGAAAGGGGAAGTGTTGGCCGGAGAGTGCCAAAAGCGAGTGCCCCTAGCACTGCTCAAAGGCTTTTATGGCACAGTTTACTTTGCATTTGTTTTTGTTTTGTTATGAAAGTTTGACGGTGTAAGTTTGACTGAAACTTTGTTTCTCCAACCCCAATTGGGACCATATGCTTTTCTGCTTTTTGAATTGAATCCCGCCTCCTGACCACCGAGATCAAGGAATGCTAATAATGCATTAGACGTGCCATAACCCAGTGATAACTTGTTATCCCAAAAGATAATTCGTGATTTATATTTTTAAGTTTTGAGTTTAATACTTTTTATTAATACTTCTAACATATTAATTTATAATTATTGTTCTTATCAAAAAAAAAAAAGAAGAAGAAGAAAGAATGCTAGTAATAATAAATTGATTTGGTGGCATTTTGTAAAAATATTGCCATCTTAAAAGTGGTTCCACAAGATGATGATGCAGCAGCTTTGATAAATCTAATCATTGTTTTAAAAACTAGATTGGCTTGGCCGGTCAAATTGATCAAACTGATATCAAATGCTATAAATGATTCGAGTGAATATTTAAAATCGGTAAAATAATTGAATAATTTAAAATTGACAAAATTATTCAAATCGACACAAACCATTAAACCATTTAATCAGTCAATTTAAAGAATTGA